TTTTTTTTCTTTCTTTTTTTTTCCGGTTTTTTGAGACAGAGTTTCTCCGTGTAGTTTTGGTGCCTGTCCTGGAACTCACTCTGTAGACCAGGCTGGCCTCGAACTCACAGAGATCTGCCTGGCTCTGCCTCCCAAGTGCTGGGATTAAAGGTGTGTGTCACCACCACCAGGCTCAGACTCTCTTCTTCTTGTGCAGAAATAAAGAGATATCTAATTCTAGAAGATTCTGGTGGCTACTTCCTGAGAAAGTCATAGAGAGAGACCTAGTCTCTTAGGCACTCTGTTCAGGTAGCCCACTGCCCCCTCACAGTGTGTTCTGCACTGACTTTAAAAATGTTCGTTTACTTTTATTTTATATGTATGAATGTTCTGCCTGCATGTATGTATGTGCATTACAGGCATGTCTGGTGCCTGCAGAGGCCAGAAGAGGGCTTTGGATCCCCTGGAACTGGAGTTATAGAGAGTTGTGAGCCGCCAGGTAGATGCTGGAACCCAAACCTGGATCCTCTGCAAGAGCACCAAGTACTCTTAATCACTTAGCCATCTTTCCAGGTCCCTGTACTTCTTGCTGGAGAGAGAGAGAGAGAGAGAGAGAGAGAGAGAGAGAGAGAGAGAGAGAGAGAAGTTAAGGAGGGAATGCATTCTCTGTGTTGGTTATGATGGTGACAGTTTGGGCTGAGTTTTCTCTGGCAACTCAAAGTGCCTTGAGTGATGATGCTGTCCTAAAGCTAGTTTTGCAGTCACCAGAATGACTGTGGCCCGGACACATGCCTTGAACACCAGTCTAAAAAAGACTAGTGAAGGGGGCGGCCAGAAGGGATTACGGAATGAGACCATGGGGTTTCAGTGGTGGTAGTTAGGAAAATATTTCAAGTTAAAATGGAAGACTAAAGAGAGAAGGATGTGTTTGCAAGACTGTGACTTCCCTTTTGTCCGGGGATGAAAGCCAAGTGAGTTCAGGCATGGTGGCACATGCTGTCAATCCTAGGACTCTGGAAGCACAGGCAGGTTGATCTCAGTGAGTTAAATAGAATCCAGCCAGAGCTACATAGTAAGAGCAACAAAACAAAACAAAAAAACCACAAAGTAAACTAAGGGGGTACATTCAAAGGTAGCAGTCAAAAGGTAGTCATCGGTTTGAGCAATGATATTTTAATAACTTCACACGTATGTACACACTGACTTACAGGACACACACCTGTCATGCACGAAAGGATAAAGAAACAACTTCAGAATGAGGGTAGAGACTGTTGAGAGCAGAATCCAGGATGAAAGTTAATGGTGGTTTTGACACAGGTGACGGGATTGGGACAGGAAAATAGCATCAACAAATATTTACCAGTGTGAGACAATCACTGAGCGTCACTCTTCAGCCTTTCCGTACTTTGGAGAGGACTTTTGGCCAAGGCTGTAAGAAGGGTGGGGTGGGAGGTGCAGAGAACCCTGGGAACTCTCTACCCTCCGAGTTCTTAAAGCTGTGAGGCCAGCATGCGATTCTCAGTCTGGCTGAGACCCTTTAGTACATCTGAAACCCAGGTAAGCAACATTTAATGAAGGTCGGTAGTAGGACTAGTGTCCCCCTCCCCCAAACCACTTGCGTGCATGAGAATCTACTGGATGCTGCTGCAGGAGACCCCGTTTTTGGAAAGTGCCAGCTCAAATGACTCTCAGAGACGATTCTAGGGGGCCGCAGCTTGTGGTTCTAGGGCTCCTCTCGGCCTCAGTCTCATCCGGGTACAAGAGCGACTGGAGATAGCTAATGTACTTGATGGCAGCTCTGAGGGTCTCCACTTTGCTGAGTCGCTTCTCCAGGTAGTCCTCGGGCAGGTGGCGCCGCAGCCGGGCGTAGCCTTCGTTGACACACTTGACTCGCTGCCTCTCACGCTCATTCCTCTTGCGGATGAAGGCCGGCCCATAGGCGTAGTCACAGCGCCTGTAGTTGGGGTAAGGCATGGGGAAGGGGAAGGGGTACGGGTCCCCATAATTGTCCATGATCAGAGTATCGCTGGAAAAGGGCAGCAGAGGCAGCTCGTCCGCGTAAGGGTTCGGCACCGGGGCCTCGGGGCACAGGTGGACAGTGACCATGGGGTCCAGGTAGAAGGGCCTGGACAGTGGCAAGTGGGCAGACTCGGAGAAGACGGAGAGCCTGTCTGGAGGGCTGGAGTAGCTCCTGGTGTCCATCATTTCCTCTTTCACCTAAAAACAGAGGCGTACTTGTCAGTTTGGCCAGATTCAAAAAGAGCAGGTTTAATCTACTTTCTCCGAGACTCATGTCTAAGAGACTTCTGCTTAGTTTGGGGGCTCATATAGAAAAGTAAACAGGGTTATAGTCATTTGTGTGGAGGCACTGGGGTGGTGGTGGCTGAGACTTGTAATTCCAGTACCCCAGAGGCTGAAGCAGGAGAATAGCTGTGAGTTCAAGGGCAGCCTGGGACATATAGTGAAACTGTCTCAAAACATTACCACCACTAACAAGAAAGGAAGGAAGAAGGGAGGGAGGGAGGGAGGACTCCCCTTTTTCTCTTTCCTTCTTCAAAAATTGTATTCTCTCTGTCTCTGTCTCTGTCTCTGTCTCTGTCTCTGTCTCTGTCTCTCTCTCTCTCTGGGATGGGTGGGGAGCGGGCACTGAATCCAGGGCCTTGCCCTTGATCAGCAAGGTGCATTGAGCTACATGGCCACTACCTTTTTACCTTTGGCTGTATAAAGTAGCCTCGACGGGTCTTCTAGGGACACTGTTGTTAACTAGTTCCCTAAGAGGCAGGGAAGGGGTGCTTGTGTTTCTGCTGGAAATCCTTTAGGGGCTCAATCTGGACCTTTCCTTTCCCTTGCTCTGGGTCCTCAGGCAGGTGTCTTAACCCTCTCCGAGCCTCACCTGCTTCCTATATCTACTTGCCGGGTTGGCCATCCTGCAGTGGTTAAAAGGTTTGCAATTGCAAAGTCCAAGCAATGCCTCATCCCGGAATTAGCTGTTTTCCTTTTTCTTCACAGATAGATACTTATGGAGCCTCTCTTTCTCGGCACCTCATAGAAAATCTAGTTAATATTTTCTCCCCACAGTGGAGAATCAAAACATTAGCGTCTTCAAAGCACAGTTGCTGAGGTCTGGGCACGCTCATGATTGCAGCACAGGTACTGGATCTGTGGGCCTCGGACAGCAGATCCACAGCTCTGGGGCGACTTCTCAGGGAGTAATTTTCCAGTGTCTTTGGGAGTCACAGGCTTGGCATACAAAAAAGAGGCGAAGCAAAGCAAACCAAATGTTTATAGACAAGACTAGATAACGCTGGGGCCGCTCTCTCCGTTTGTTTGTGGTTTTGAGACCGGGTCTTGCTGTGTATTTGCTGGCCTGGCATTTGTTAGAGAGCCGAGGCTGGATCCTAGGCATGTGGCACCAAACCTAACTTGGCACTGGATCCTCTCTACCTGAGCATAGCAGGAACTCTACAGACCTTGCTGGGTGATGGAAGGAATGGCCTTTAGGACCAGATTCTAGTGTGTTTCCATCCTTGTGAAGAGGCCTAGGCATGGCCTCAGAAAAGATAAGAAACTCGAATCTGAAATGGCGGTTAGGGGCTGGGGGCTGGGGGCTGAGGGCCCGGGGCTG